AGACTTCTATGTATAAATTTTGCATCATTTAAAAGGGTGGGTGGATTGGTTTTTAGATAAACACGTAAATATAATCAATTTCTGAGCTCATCAATATCTATATAATAACTATTTATCTATATTTTAACATTAATAATCTACTTCATCTAAGGATTTCAGAGCATTTAACTAGAATTGATCAGGTACCAGACTATTTGTTGTTTTTTAACTAATTTTTAGTGACCTAAGGGTATGTCTACACTACAGCGTTATTTCGAAATATCTTATTTCAAAATAACACGTCTAGACACAAAATGCATTTTGAAATAACTTTTTGCTATTTTGAAATAGGGCATCCACTCTGATTGGATGCTGAATCCCATTTAAGGCCAGCCGGAACTGGTTCTGGCAGGGCATCAGGTCAGATGTTACCTTGTGGCCAGGATGGCCAGCAGGGCACCCTAGGAAGGACTGGAGACCCCCTATCTCAAAATAGCAATTTCAAAATTGGCGCTATTCCTCGTGGAATGAGGTTTACCAATTTTGAAATAAGCCCTCCACTATTTAATTTCGATTTAATTTCGAAACAGCAGTTGGTTTCTGTAGACATTAGGAAAGTTATTTCGAAATAATAGCTGTTATTTCAAAATAACTTTGCTATGTAGTCTAGACTGCATCCTTCTGTCAGCAGAGGGATGCAGATTAGGCAGGTCGCAATTGCAAAAGAGGCAGGAACTTAAATATCTGTGCCTAATTTGCATAAAAATGTCTGCCGCGTTTTGCCGACTCAGCATTTTGTCAGCAAAAAGCGGCAGTCTAAAGGGGGATCTGTTGAGAAAGAAAGCCTTTTTTAACAGATCCTGTGAACCTCCTTGCAGGAGGCATAAGGGATCTGTCGGAAAAGACTTTCTATCTCGACAGATTCCCCTCTAGACTGCCGCTTTTTGTCGATAAAGTGCTGAGTCCGCAAAATGCGGTGGACATTTTTATGCAAATTAGGCACAGGATATTTAAATCCATGCCTCATTTGCAATGTCGACCTGCCTAATCTGCATCTCTCTGCTGACAGAGGGATGCAGTCTAGACATACCCTAAGGGTGTGTCTAGACTACATGCCTCCGTCGACGGAGGCATGTAGATTAGCCAGAT